CATGTATATATATGTCTATGTCTATATACGTATATACATGCTTATATATGTATATATATATAGATACATATATATATTTATTTATTTTATACACATATATACTTACATTCATTTATATATATACATATAAACATACATTCATTTATATATATATACATACATTCATTTATATATATATAAATATATATATATAATGTATATATATATATAAACATGCATATATACACTCACACACACATATATATATATATATGTATATGTATAAATATATCTGCTTTCATTTATATTTATGTATACTTGTATCTAGATGAGCTAATACCTGCATCCTCGCTTAATTTTTAGCAAGGTTTCTGTTATGAGATATTCTAACCGGCACCTTTATCAAATTCTGGCTAGATTTGTGTGTATTCGGTATTTTGAACTCAATTCTCTGGCGATTGCAAGTGTTTGTTATATGCCACTTCGCTCGTGCAAGAGTATTCGATAGTATTGTCTGAACGCTCTTCACGTAGGTAGAGCTGTAGTGACCATGTGTGTGTACATACTACTGTATTTATTTATTTTTCGTGCAGACATATACACACACAAAAGTCATATGCATCTTTGGTATACCCTGAGAAGTAAGACCGCATTGCAGTAGTTTAGTTATGATACCCTTTACCCTTTTGGTGCAGTGTTCGTGTAGATAGTACAACACACCCAACCAAGTTTTGCTACCGTCCAAATCAGTTGATTTTAATAGCACACATACCTCACTGTCGAAGGCTCTAATAGTATGCATTCGTTGGTGGTCATGTACACAGTAAACTTGTCTCCCACATCACGACTACCGACATTAGGGTCATTCACCAGCCCGAAGGCTCAAATGTACTGAGCCTGGGTGTAAAATGTCTGTACTGTGGATGAAAGATAGATGTGTTTCACATGCTCTCAGATTTGTTATTGCTATAGTAAAGACTGAACGTATATCAGTACTGTGATATCGACTTACACATGGGTTTAATATCAATCCTCACTGCAGATCGTGAAGGTTAGAAAGAATTAGGACTATGAACGAATCATCCCCACCGCCCAAGTGGGTGGAACTACAAAGGAAGGTAAGCTCCCCTGCCAGTGCTTAAATCGGGTCACTTTGACTGCAAAAACGTGCTCGTAGGTGTGCCTGCGAAGTGAACGGGCCCGCGAGCATTTTGACGTCTGTGGCAAAATCTCAATTGTATTTTGCTAAATGAATCGCACGAATCGTCAATCGTTACTTAGGGGTTCACTAAATGGGTCAACGCACAACTTGTGAAACGAGACCATCAGATATGTATAGACGGGAGCTTGGAAGCAGCTTTGGCGGATGGGGTGAGGTATGTCGCGTCTAAATACACTTCTTTATCCATGTGGTAAGCGCTTTAGTTTCTGCATACCCCGCATAACGATTTGGATGTCAGAAACCTTTCTTGAGGCGCTATCCAGCACGGTCTTTCCAATACTACTCGCTGCGATTTTGCACACAGGTTACCAATTCTCATAGAGGAATTGAAAAACCAGAAGATATTCAAGAAGCCCAAAATTAGTAAAGAGTCCAGGTTTCAACAACTAGCCTCTCTGCATACTGTGATGGACCACTTGCGACGAGAGGAGGGCCTATCATTAGTCAACATCAGTGCGGAAGGTGAGTTTCATGCTTTTACAAGAGGATTAAGGGTTATTCTGTAATATACAAACTCTTGAGTGGGTTAACTCGACGGACACTCAGCTTTAGGTACCGTAACCTAAGTGTTCACTGGCATTGGGCTTACGTCTTCAGATCAGAATGCCTATCAGTAACCAAGCGACCGCTCAATCATCGTCACATGCGCCAGGCAATAGAAGATCTGTAGCTATCACTGAGATTTCGTGGACGAATGATCGATATGGCATCCAAGTACGATAACCTTTTAACGTTGTTGATCTCCGCAGACATCTACGATCAGAACACAAAGTTGTGTCTTGGACTGGTCTGGACACTGATCTGCCACTTCCAAATCGAGATGGCCTTGAGAGATAGTGCAGATACAAGCGGCACCTCTGATAAGAAGAAGAAGAAAAGCAACAAGCAGTCCGACAAGAAGGTCTTCCTGACGATGCTAAACGACGTATACATCCACCGCAATATGCCACCTATCAGGTAAGAGGCAAAAACACATTACAACTTGTAAGTGTTCATTTTAAAAGGTAATGGTAATGTACAGCGACTAATTTATCTGGTGAGGTGTTTGTTATTTATTTTTGTGGGCTTCGTATTGATGCAGAGTTCGGATTTCTTGATGCTGTTGTCGCGCTCAAAGAAATGAATGAATGCGAGTAGGTAAATTCTAATCAGATACTATGCACGGAGTAGCACTCAGCTAAAATCAACTCACTTCACTTTTGACCCACTCACAGCAACTTCGATCGAGACTTTTCGTCACCTACCCGATTTTATTGTCTTTTAAACCATTTGCGAGATTGCACGGGATCGTCAAAGAAACGTGAAGAAGATTTCGCGTCTTTGCCTGATGTGGAACAGTTTGCTGTTGCATTCAAGGCTGCCGAAGACGAATTCGAGGTATATATTATTTGGTCAAAATGTACTTCTTCTGATTCTTCGCGTACTATTGTATGCGTTGCATATCGCTGACCATTCTTTGTAAATCCTTTCAATTTATATGAGGAAAAGATACTCTATCAGAATCGCTGGCTCTACAATCGACGCTCATTATCAATGCTTCTTCCCTCGCACGTGTACCCTCAGATACCTCAACTTTTGGACCCACTGGACATGACCGCGCAGAATCCCGACGAGTTGGTTGTGCTGACGTATCTATCCTACTTCATCCGCGAGATTAAAACCACATGTCCCGATGGAGCCATTCCGTACTCATATGACACCGTACAAGAGGCCAAGCATCAGCCATCGCCAATTGCACAGTCGGACACCAGTGAATCCAGTATATACACTGAAGTGGAGCCTGTGGTAGCACGGGTGGGGGAGAAGACTGGTACGGATGGACCCAAGCATCAGTCATCGCCAATTACACAGTCGGACACTAATGAACCCAGTAACCACACTGAAGTGGAGCCTGTGGTAGCATGGGTGGGGGAGAAGACTAGTACGGATGG